AACTCTATACGTACCCAGGGTGTTTTGCCAATCCTTTTCCAAAGATTTCAAAGGCGAAAGTTTACTCATCCGCCAGTTGTCACTTGACTCCCAAGCGCACTGATTCACCTCAAACAGACATCCGGGAAGTTCTGTTAAATAAAGTAGTTGAAAATGAACAGGTAACGTTTACTTTGGTGATGGTCATTTGACAGATTTGAAAAATCGTTTTCAATAATTTTCACCTGATGACGTCAGCAAATGCCATGGAATAAACTGAAACATATTCGTTTACCAGGTGTCTTTTGAACATAGGTAGTTTAAATCTTACCAGGATCTTTTTAAAGCCTTGCACTTTGTTTGCTCCCCCCAAATCGTGCACTGATTCTCAGTTACTTTCGGGACAATTGTACTGCCGAGGAGACATTGGAAACAATGTTTGTTCATTTTTGGGTGGTGGGTTGGGGAAAACAAATTCTGTGTATTATGGGCAATGAACAAGTGTAAACTGAGACTTACAAAGCAGCATTTTCAATAAAATGGTAAACAAACCATTTCCTGTTATGGTGTCACATTGTTTTTGGCCAAGTAAGGATAGATCATCAATAGCAATGTCTCCGTAAATTCCACTACCAACAACCCCCTCTAAGATGACCTGGAAAGAGGAATCAAAAGAGTGTTTAAGGAGTGCCATATCTCAGAGCAACGAACACGTTTATCAGTGTCATATCGTACAAAAACGAGGTCTGTTCTCGATTAGGCATTCTTTTATTCTTAACAGTAAGTAAGATCACGTGACGTTAGTCCTGGCACAGTCCTAAACATTGAATAAAGAATTTTTTTCTAGATAAGATAAAAATAGTCACAAGAAAGAGAATCATTTAATTTGTGACTGAACTAGCTGGTGCCTTCATTTTCTTCAAATAGCCCTCCATGTGATAGAAGAGGAGAACTTTCTTAATATACTTATCAATTCACAACTGCAACCACAACAACAACAACAACCTCTATCTGGCCCTCTAGTTTTCCGATTGTCTAATCTCAGTAATAAAATTAAGAACATTACTACGGAAAATAAGATTTAGAAGAGTTATTAAGTTACTTGTTGCATGTAAGGACACTCTTACCTTATAGCTTTTCGTGTCACCTTTGTATCCAACTTGTCCAAAGTTCCATTTGTCACCTTGTTCACCAGTCGTGTTCCAAACTAGCGTTTTTGTTTCATTAGTTTGGATGTTGACTTTCAAGCTCCCGATATCTTTTCCTTTCATGTGATACCAAAACTGCACACAAATAGATTTACCAGGACCAATTGTACTGCTGGCCAGAATGGCTCCCTCAACTGCCTTCTGCTCCGATGCCTCCAGAAATAGGTATTTTCCTTGATAGATATTAAGTAAATAAATACAAACAAAGGAATGGCAGAAGTAAATACATAAATAAACTTAGAAAGAACAAAAGACTTAGAGTCAAACAAAGTGCATCAGAAATCTTATCAAAGCTTTTGGTCTCTTACACGTTGTCATAATAAGAACGTTTAGTCTGGAACAGCTGTCAAGTTCAGTTGATGCCTACCAGCCCATTCGTTGATGTATCAGCCCTATTCGTTTCTCTTAGCATTTTCTTTATTGCATTGTTTCTACTATTGTTGTAACTATTTTAATTCTTTTTAAATATAAACTTAGTGCAGCTTGTTGTTCATGAGATGGTTTGTAGCACTTGGTGGCACCTTTTCAAAAAGGGAATACGAAAAGAAAACTGAAATACTTGAGACTTAGTATCACTCAAACCAACCGTCAGGTCCAAGTGTGGTGTGATCATAATCCGGGCCAGTGTTCTTCGTGCGTGTTGAGCCAGATCCAATGCGCCAATGACCCTGTTCCATCCCGCACAGCCCATCCTCAAAATCGCATTTAACTAACACAATGCACAAGAAAGACTTCGTAAGTAGAAAGCAATTTCATTTCTGTTGTCGGCAAGAAATGATAAATCATAGAAAAGTAGTGTTTATTTGTATAATAATCACGCCTCGATAGGGTACCTGGATTACTCAGACTTCATCAGTTTACCTGCTGCTTATTGGTAGACATACATTGTTCACGTTATGAACAAAAAGAATTTTAGAGAAGTAATTGGGTCCATTTCCCAGTATGGAAACCAATGTTTTTGCACTTGCCCTTTATAATAATTTAATTTTAAGCGACTGTTTCGCTGTTACAGGTAAAAGGTCGTCTTCATTTTTCAACAAATATAGAGCAAGATCCATACTTCCATACCTTTGTTTTCAACACACTCCATATAGTTAAACCAATCACAGCTCAGATTAAGCAACGGACAGTGCGAAGACCCTGAAGAAACAAAACCACGGTCCAATGCATTCATTATTTGATTATTACATAGTGTCGTTTATTACTACAACTTTTATTAAACTTTAATATATTTATTTATTGTTTATTTTATTATTCATTCATTTATTATTGCTGCGTATTAAACATTTAAACAGATTTTGATATTTAATTTATTTGGTTTTTTTTTTCTACCGTTCCCTTGCTTGTGTAACATTTGTTAGGAACAGCTGGGAGAAGGGCTTTAGTAAAACTACGAATAAGCAATCGCAAACTAATGGTAGAAGTAGGCAGATATAATCAAAATACGAAGGATAATAGGCAATGCCCTTTTTGTGGATGCAATGCAATAGAAGACAAAGTTCACTTTCTTTTTCAATGTCCTACATACTCTATGATTAGGAATAAATTTTACTATAAAGTCAAGACACTGATTACAAATATTATCCAGTTACCTATAAACGGTTGGACCAATGAACTGATGAACTCTTCTAAGTACTTTATCAATATAAAATTCATAAATTAAATATATTTCAGCTTGTTTTGATGTTCGTGACAAATTATTATCAAAGCAACGTAATTGCCCTGTGTTGTAATTTTGATTCCTAAAAATAGCTTTTGCAATACTGTATGTGCTTGTATGGTCATGCAAATGAAGCTCGTTGTTGTTGTTGTTATCTAACGCTTATTAAAAACGTAAATTTTATATTGTAATCACGTCGGTGTTAACGTCACGTACATGCATGCAATTGCATGATGCATCACCGTATATTCGTATTTCAAATCCCAGTAACTATATTACCTGCAACTGATGATCGTAGATCGAACGAAACATGTCTTGCTCCAAATTCAAAGTTGTGGCTCATTTTTTAAGGAAACTGTCGTTTCTATTTCATTTGACATTCTGGGACTGACCACTTTAGTATTTAGAATCACATTTTAGCAAGGGAAATATACCGGTACCCGCTAGTAGGTATTGCCATCTACAAATTTGGTGGCAACAGCTATATTCTATCCGGATTCTGTCCCGATGTAGAAAAAAACTCAGGATATTGGCAGTAGCTTTCATTCTGAGATCAGTCAAGACATTTACCTACGCACTAATCTGTGCATAGTCATAAATATATAAAGAACGACCTTTATTTGCTAAAATAATGTCTATCGAAAAGTTTACCGCTCACACTCTGTGAAAATACCTTGAACGCTAGATTCAGACGTGTCTACTACACCAAGTTTATGTATCGCCGGTTAAACGTTTACTAACCAAATTATACTAAGCTTAAAGACAAATCGCTGTTTACTTTAATGTGCAGCAAAAAGAACCATTAAAAAAATACATGTAACAAATGCAACATTACCACATATAGATGGCTCATCCGTTTCGTCTTCGCAGTTCTTTTCTCCATCGCACGTGAAAGACCATGGTACGCAACCACCTCCAGCGCAAGAAAAAGCATCTTCCGAGCAGCTTTGCCCTATATATTAATGAGACCCTAAAGTAACAAATATTCCAGGAAATAAATGAACTTTTTTGAATCTGTTGCTTACCGCATCTTGCCTCGTCTGTTCCGTCCTTACAGTCCTTTCTCGAGTCACATAGGTTCTCTACATCAAGACATTCCCCAGCGGGACAAACAAAATCACTTGTGAGGCATTTACAGTCCTTCTCGTCAGAGCTGTCCATGCAAGCAATATCTCCATCGCATACTAGATCTTTGCTTACGCATTGACCATTGTCGCACTGAAAACCACTATTGCTCTTGCACACGAATCCTGAAAAAAAATGAGGACAGTCAGCAAAGTTTGTGCAGCTCCTCGGGGTAACAATTCTACCACTACTATTATTTTGTTTATTTTAATCACTCATGTTTTCATATTAGTGCAGATTTTACGTCGCCGGACAGCTGAACGTACCAAGATGGTGTTAACAATCACAGTTATGGACAAAGTGAAGACTATTAAGAAAGAGTACTTACCTGGTAAACTATGAAGTGGTAGTCTTTCACACTGTTTTGTATCAATACTAATGTTTTTAATTGCCACGGGATTAATCCCAGACGGCTGTTTTCCGATAGCAACAACAAGAACCTACAAAAAAAGAAATCATTTAATGAATCAATCCTCAGTACGAGGGCACGAAAAGCTTGATTATGCCACCAGACACAATACCTTAAAATCATCACGTGCTATGAATGACACTTGGCCTCCCAGCCAGGTTTGGCCCTGGTAACCATGGAGAAGCCACAAAGAGACATTTGATGATGTCAGCAGTACAAAATGTATTGATGATCCAGAATAACCCGAAAGAAGATAAGAGAAGGACAGGCATAATCCAGTTTTTTCGTAAATAACATTTTTCGAAATCCACGGGCTCTCTAGAACAGCAACTTTGCCGTCCAAACGGGCCAGAATTCCTGAATAAACATAGAAAAATAGCACATCAATTAATTCCCAATGTCCTTATTATAAAGTTCAAAGAGTCCCCATGAAAAAAATAAACATTTTCTGTAACCAGGCTTGCGACAAGGCCTCTGGCAGCCAAGCGTTAGCTGTCGGCTCTTCCTATCATTGCGTAGCAGTGTAAGGGAAGAACTCTGTAGCGTCAAAATTAGTCTTTTCTTTCGCAGTCACCAACTAAACTGCTCAAAGTAGTATTCGCAAAATGGTACCATTTGACTTGATATGCATAGAAAATATTTTTAAATTGTTTACACCGTGCATAATAATAATTTACTCTACAGATTCCAAAGTAAAATCATAGATAGTTGAGTGCTCACCTATTCGTCCATCAGCCACCGTCGATTGTTGGGGCTGCATTCAGATGCCATTACATTGTATTGAGGTGGATACCAAAGGTTTATGTACATGGATATTACAGAGTCAACAATACAAACCTTTGTCAGACGATGAAAGTGTCCAGCCATTATTTTTACTGTTCCAAGAACAAAGGTCAGATATGAAGCTACAACCTTCAACTAGGATAGCTAATGGAAAGAATAAAAGTGGAAACTTGTACCGGATAAAAAACACTTGAGACAAACAAGAATTATTTTTTAACATCCAGACAGGATTGTCATACCTGAGATATAAACTTCCTTAATTTCCCTTGAAACCTCGGTTGTATACGACGAAGTATCGACCAGGCCATAAGATACCTAACACACGACGATACACAGCGATTAAGGCGAATGCTAGGTTAAACCTTATCATTTAACTACAAAGTAAACTGCTTACGTTAATTTGGTATGTTCCTTCCTGTTGAAAGGTGTCGAGACTAGTGTTGAAATGGCGCTCTTGACAATCCATTGGTAATTCATTATGAACCAAAATCCTTTGCTCACCAAAGCTCACATATAAGCGAATTGGGCATCCGGGACAGTACAATCCACGGCAGCAATATTTGTAATTGGCTATATGGTTAAAGAAGAGAAAATGACTCGAAAGTGTGAACAGGTTAATCAATACAAGAACACGTATTATCCAGACCTTTTCACAACAAAACGTCAGTTGATCAGATACTTTATTAATTTATAGCATTTAGAGCTATAGAGCGTTTTCAGATGACGTCAAGGTGGCCATATTGGTGTTCCATACCAGTCCTCTGGTAGTTAAACTCTTTTCTTATGTAAACACCTTATTTTGTTCCGATAAATTTTCATAGATGCTGGTCACGTGAGTGAGAACACTCTATAGTAGCTGTGCTGTCCAACTTAACCTTTCGCCAAAATGGTTTTCCACAACTAACATGCACCACTTATAACCTTCACATACGAGTAATTTCCCTTCAGTAAACTTAAAAATACCTTGAATAAGAAGTTTTTGACCAGCCTTGAGAGTGACTTTTTTAGGAATAGACGTTATTTGAAAGTCTATGTATCCAACACCTGTGTGAATGCAAATCGTATAAAAATAAAACAGATTGCTAATCCTTCGTAAACTGCCAGAAGGAGTATCGATGTTTTCAAAATATATTAGTCTAGAATTGCAGACAACTCTTTATCCGATCACCGTTTGGAATCGTCATGGATTACTAGAGTTGCTTACTCCCTTCTCACTCGTGAACCGCAAGTAACATATAGTGCGGATTCACTTCCCATTCACTTCTCTTCACTTACAACTGGTCATGATCTATTTTGACGGCCATAACCTGTTTTGACAGCTTACTTGAGTAGGAGAAAGAGATCGTTCAAACCGCACTCGAATGAGCAAGTTTCCGTCAAACAAGCAAATCAAAAGGTAAAAACAAAACAGTTTAAGTTAGAGACCAACGCTTAAAAGAAACCATCCGTGGGCAAACATGCTCATACACGGACAATTTCCGCTTTCTAAAGATGTCCCCGTTCACTAGTATCAACTGCATGAAAATGTTTACCTGGCCGCACCCAAAATAAGTGATCCTCAGTTATTGGGCTTTTATATGTCCCATTTGGTAGCTTCATTCCTACGGATGCACAATCACTTACTCCAGATTGCTTCATTAATAATTCCAAAGAGTACAATTGACATTTACTCAACCAGATCTCTTTGGATGTTTGCTGAGAGGGAAATCTAAAGAAACGTACACATAAAGAGTTTGGATGATAATGTGACCAACACAAAAATAAACAAATAATTAAAAACGTGCTTGCATACATAAAACGACATTATGCGTGGGTTCATTCTCATGACATGCTAATGGTTTAAGAATATCTAAGAAGCATCATTGGGCCTACAGACCCAAAATCAGCAGTAAAAAATGTGTGTTACGTTAATGCAAAGCAATTTAAACTTTGAGTCTGGTCGGTCCTACGGTTTATGATAAATGGAAAAACAAATTTTGACTCCTTTTTACTCCAGCTTTTAGATAAAAGCTGTTACACAATGCATGTACGGATTGCAGTCTGTGTAGATAAAGAGAAGATGAAAAACTAGGTAAAAATATGATGAAGCGTGGTTTAGTTTCCCAAATAAGATAACTATTTCATCGAAAAACAAGGTAGTCTTACTTATTCCATTGATTGTGGGCTGTCCAAAAGTCCAGTTTCATTAAACGTAGCTTGCCAGATGACTCATCGTCCTTTATTTTTTCAACGTGTTCTTCGCTCTCTTTGTGTAACCAAAGCTCGCAAGTGTCATCACATGCGACAAAGAAGGTATAATTGCCGCTTTCGGGAACCTTACGCGAGACAAAAAAGGAAAAAAATAAAATGACTGACTTGCCAGGTACGGCTTACTTCCTGTCACTGAACGCACAAGGGATGTCCAACAGAATTGCTTTCCACAGAACAACTTCAGTATTTAGTAATAGGGACATTTGGGTGTACGTATAGAAAGTGATGGAGAACACCAAGTACTTACGCCCAGAAAGAAAAAAAACCGAAACAGAACATTAAAAATGATCCGTCCAATCCTTTACAGAGAATACTTGGTTAAAGGTCTGCAACTCATTTTGTATCCGTACTCATTCTTACTTACAACATTAAATGAGAACAATAATAAAGAAAAAATAGCAATATAAGAACTATTTACCTGCAAATACGCTGTCAGTCGTTGTCCGTAATCTGTATGGAAATAGAAGGGAGCGTCAAACTGTTGGAGAATGTTCACAACATCTGGATTGCTTGGAAATCTGCTATCAGCTCGCAGACTGGTTATCGTACCCGAACGAATATTGTACCAAAGTTCTTGAAGAACGCCGTGAAGACTGTCTTCGCTTTCTGTGTATTTCATAACGGTCGAATATATTTGTCAATTCTAAGCGAAGCAAAGACGTGCTTCTTACAACCAATGTTTATAAGACTATTCGCATATTTTTGTCTGTGCATCATTATTTCTTCACATCAGGGTTAACATTATTTCTCTTGTGCGCTCCAAAGTCAACACCAAGAACTCGTTTCTGATGCACAGCATGGGTGCCAGCGCGTCAAAACGGTCACCGTGTCAAACTTGGAGGTATTTGACAATAATTTTTCTTTCTTAGTTTTGAATCTGGTGGATGGCACGTATCCATCAATAAATTACTATTAGAAAATCAATGTACATGAAACAGAAAACGTTTACATTTCTCACCGATTGCCGTTATCATCACCTCACACAGGCTTAAATCGTCTACACCATCTTCATAAATAGTTACATTTGAAGCCGAAATCAACGGTTCACAGATCATCAGTGTTTTTCGTGTATCCTTCCAGGAGTAAACTTTACAGTTAGCTTTTTCGGTTTTCACGCTGTTGCTCAAAGAAACATGTTTGGGCATCTGTGCTAAGCAGCACCCTAGCCTATTAATGATCCAGATTTTGCTGACGAATCCTGGCCTCTGCAAAGTTACAGTCCACCAGACTGGCTGACCCTGTAGTAAAGAAAGTTTTAACAGTACAGTACAGTACAGTACTTCACACAAGTTGTGGTTCAATTTCATTCTTGGTCGAACCCCTTAATTTGTCGTTTCAAACTGGATACCATATATTACCATACCCAACAACACAACGAAATAAAAATTAAATCAAGGGTAATATATAAGCCACAGCATTTATTTTGTGAAAGGGTTGGGGAGATTCTTGTGGTGAGTCAGCATAAATTAAACAGGAAGTGACTAGACTTTGAAGAACTTTCTGTCAGTCACTCTTTTGACAAGCCGAAAGGCCAGAATATTGGAGACATCTTGACATCTAGGAACTTGATAACAAAAAAGATAATTTAACCACGAGCAAAGCTAGATGATCCATCTGATAAGCGGGGTACAACTGAAATGGATTCTTACCGCAAAAGAACTTACCTTTTGCCTTTTAACTGTGAAACAAGACGCAACGTTACCGTCGACGGCGTGGAAGGGCTTACCTCTGCTGTTCGCCTGGGATGAATGGACGGATTGCCAACCGACCAAAAATCTTCCTAAGTATTATTGAATAATAGGAAAAGCAAAATTTAGGAATCTTCTTCGAAGGAGGGTTTCCAGAATTTGCGTTGTGATCTTCTACGGATCTAAAACGAACTTAATAAAAAAAACCCTGAAGTGACTTTACCATATCGAAGGACTTACGTTCATCTGTTTCACAAATGAAACTGCGTCGATATCCACAAGACCCATGAGCGAGCTTCCATTGTAGTGACCTTTTTTCTAGCAAGCCACACTGCCCACTCTTCGAAACATCGGGATACCCAGCATGCCAAATGCTAGCTGAAACACTGTTGCCGTCTAACCAATTCCATGTGCGAAATTTGCGAATGCCGAGAAATGCGTCGATGTTATCACCTGGGTACCTGTTGGCTATGTTAGTGAGATGATCTCCAATGATTTTTCTTTTAATTTCAGAATCGACGACGGCTAGGTCACTTCCTTGCTGTAAGCAGGACGCACGAGCCTTGCCCCATTCTTTAGCAAAGGAAGTCCCCGCAAACACTCGAAAACATGAATCAGCCACCTCGAACCAACCGGAATCGCACGTTGATCCTATGAAATCAATCACCAATGTGATCGTTTATACTGAGAGAGCCTTTTGCCAAAGTCAACCTACAAGTAATTCTATGATCCTTGCGGACAGAAAAAGATATTTTACAGACTATATGTCCAGCTGGATTTTTGTAAACGTTAACGCCAAACAGACCTTTCAGTTACGTACATTTTTCTGTTTAAAAACATCTCCAAAATAGCCAATATGAAAACTAAGAGTGCAACCATTGCTTTTTTTCTTTTCTCTTCCTTTCTTTCTCCTCCCTCTTTCTAAGTTTCCTTTCCCTTCGTTAGTGTGATTTCCGGGCTTTTCGGGCGCAAAACACCTGCCTTTTGGCCATTTTCCACTCAAAAGGCTGCGAATTTTGCTAGGTTCGTTTTATTAAGTACTAATTTATTTTCCAACCTTTTTATAATCCCTCCTCTAGTGATTTAATATCAATTAAAAATTCTGTTTAAATCAGTCGCATATATACTAAATTTGTCTGGCCGTTTTTAATGTTATCAGTACCTGAGGTGTTCTTTGGCTTCTGGCAGACAAATCCTCTTTTTGACAAGCAGGCTTCGTCGTTAACTCTCCAGCCTTTTCCTTTCCACTTAGAATTCCACTTTTCCGCAAAAATCAGGTCGGTGCACCAACCATCACCTGAAGGTTCAGAGGGTCCCCATAGTAACGACTGAACTGGAAACAGTTCTTTTCGGACAGTAATCCAGCGATTGGTAGAAAAAGCCCCGACGAAAAAGTCTACTGGGGCCCCCGTATAGTCATCGATGAATCGTGAAAGTGCGTGCAGTTTGACGGCATTTCCAAGAACAGCAAGTCTTCCTCCACGGTTGTGGCACTCAAACCTGGCGTCTTTCCATTTTTCGTAAGATTTTACATGCACTCTAAAACATGACTCGCCCAAATTAAGCCAGCCAGGTGGGCATGCATTTTGTTCTGTAGCTGAAAAAAAAAAAAAAGAATCGATACACCAGTTTCTGAACAACTGACCAAAGCTTCAGGGTTTATAATTACTTGATAAATCCTTATTATTATTTATTATTATTATTATTATTATTAATTATTATATTAATTATTATTATTAATTATTATAAGCCGTATAACTGGATATCTCGTTACCAGCCGGGGGTGGTATTAAGGTCACAATTAAAAGAAAACTAACCGCCGTATAATATTAGGAAAAGATGAATTTAATAGCTAAGTTTACAGACAACTTAGTGTAAGTTCAGTTATTAACTTACGGTCTAAGGACACATTTGCAAAGAAGTAATCAACATTTGTTTGACCACAGCAGTTTTGGTATTCCTCCAAGGCAATCCCGTAAGGTAATTTTTCTCCTCGGTTCAGAAGCAACACCTTTTTGTAATGTGGCTGGTACGTCCTTGAAGAAAAGAAGAAGTCTCGAGGGAAGCAATTGAGATCGTCTAATGAAAGCTCTTGGGTGACGCTTCTTGCACAATGGACAGTGTTTGCTGGGTACACAAAGTACATCACGTCGGTAGAAATGTTTCTTGTTTGAAGAGCATGCACTGTAAACTGATAGAACCATCCACTGTGAACTGGAATTCTGTCCAATTTGAAGTCTTTAGCATCTTCCTTTATGAAGGCGTAAAACGACTTGGTAACTTGAAACAAAGGAAAACAGGTTACAAATGTCGATTGCAATAAGTTTTATGAGTTTGATCCTTGTTTAAGTGTCAGCATATTGGGCTATTTCAAAAATGCAGTGGTAAATATACTCGTACATACCAAGTCGTTGACAGGATCCATTTCTGAATGCGATGTTATCTATGGCTACATCACTTGTACTGGAAACGCCCCGTACTCCCTCCATTACAATCTATAAAGATTAAACCCTGAAAGTTAGTTAGTGGACATATTCTGGTACGCTTGTCGGTAACTAGTCTAAACTAGGCTAAAAAGAGCTTACGGAAAAAGAACAATGCAACAGTATACTGACCCCAGCACCTCATTGTGGGAGTAACTGCTAAACCGTACTTATTTCTGATTGCGTTAAAGCAATTGCGTAATTTGTTGCTAAATCAGCAGTGATATCCTTGTTATCAGAATCCTTTTACAAAAACCTGCATAGGTGACGTCAAGCGTTGCACTTTACAGTCATTTAAATTCATTGCAGCACCAAGAACTATGCTTATAACAATGGGATACTATTGTATCAATAAACATCGCACCCATCAATCTAGGAATTCGAAGACTGGATAATCTTGGTTAATTTTTAATCGTTTTTCTGACGGTTTTGTTGCAAGGTGTTAGAGTTCCTGATGTATAAATAATAGAAAGTTAATTTACAGTGTTCTCTTAGTCTCGTATATCCTGTCATGTACTCTTGCTTGCGCAAAGATGACTGTTGGCTTAAAATCTCTATCTAAAAGCAAGTAAAGGTAGTAGTTTGATTCTTTTGCTATCTTCCATGTAGGCAGTGTACAATATCTTCTTTTATTTTACTTTACTTGGTTAACAGATTCTGCATCAAGCCAGCACAGACAGAGACTAATTGAAATTAGGTTATAGCCCGCTTTCTCAATTTATCAGTCAGATAGATTACCTGGTAGAGAGCGGAAGAATTGAGGAATATAACAGCTTCGAGCCATTGATTGTGGTGATGGCCTGTTTTAATCCATTCCACTGTTTCATTGCTGTTTGTCTTCATGTAGATTATCAAGCTTCCCATGGAACTTCCATACATATGATACATGAATGACATGCACTTTGCACCTTGCATTACAGGACTTAAAAGCCTCACGTTGTCACCATGTTGTCGCGGAAACGATGCTTCAAGATATGCGTAAGTTCCATTTCCTTTAGATTTTGGAACAAAATACTTACTGAATTGACGCTTTCGATTTTTACATATCCATTGCCTTTAGTTAGTTTTTTAGAATATCAAGGAATCACAATGATGATGATGATGATGATGATGATGATGATGAAGTGGGAACACTAATATAATATAACAATTACTGGATTTTTAGGCTTAAAGTGTGATACAGATTTCAACTTTTAACTGAACTGAAGACACTGAACTTCAAGGCTGCTAATAAGTTATGGAAGTGAAACGTGGCGATTTCGTTGTCGATCTTTCAGCATTATGATTACACGCTTTGTTGTTAATTTTGCTGTAGAGAGTAGCTCTAAGTTACTGCAGTTCAATAAAATGAGTCACTATTTAAAATAAATATCTTCAATTCGATCTTGGTGATTATTCAAAGGAACGTTAGTCGTACCGTTAAACCTAGGGGGTCGATATCAAATAAAGAATTAATACCTGAAACATCAGAAATAGGTCCTGTTCTCCAACTAGGTGTTTGCCCTGACTTTAAAGTCCAGTTAAACTTCGATTTTCCAGAGTTGTCATTTGCCCATTCGCAAAACGTAGACTCGTCAAAATTGCAGTCTAGCACTTGGCATAACGCAAATAAGAACGAAATTAGACCCAGAAAAAAGTGAGTTTCAATAACTCGCTGTAAACAAGCTGATGCAAACTGCTTTATATTTATCCAAAATTAAGGAATTTTTAATTTAATTTTCTTACCTGTTTTATCCAATTTTGTGGGACAAGTTAGGTTCTACTTATTACAGAACCAATGACAGTGCAAATGTTTTTAAGGCAGTAGAAGGTTAAAAAAAAAACCCTTAAGTTTCAAAAACACAATTCCGCCTTAAAACATTAGGGGTTTTGACTGGTTCTGCATTGAGATGGGGCCAATCAAAGTTAGGGACGAACCATTAGAAAATTTATGGGGGGAGTAGGGAATTTTCGAGCCGCAGGAATGTTTTTTCGTTATCAAATTCCTTGTATGAATTTTTTCAGGCCGTAGCATGAATAGTTTTTAGGGTTGATGGGCGTGCATAAGTTTTTTCATTTAATTTTCCCTGCGCAAATATCTTTTGTACTTCGCCTGCCCCCCGCCCCCACCTCGCCCCCCCCCCCCCCCCCACCCTCATAATTTTTCTAAAGCTCCCTCCCTTAAAACAAGTTGTGGAACCATGTCAAAACATGTCAAAAAATTGTCCCGTCCGCAATGGCAGCGCGATCTTCAAAGTACTACAAAGGGTGTGGAAGGCTTATTATGACACATCATTATTCCAAAAGGTTTGACTATGGCTATATTGCAGCATAATGTCAGTAGTCAAGGTTATAATTGGTTCGACTAGAGGAAAGGGATAAGCATTAAAAATGTCTTTATCTTCTGCCTTAATTCTTTTACCCGATAAATCCAATTATCTTCTTTTCCGGATTAAATTTGGTAAAATGGTAGACTAATTCTAATACATGTAGACAGGAGAGAATTCTCTCGTGATGTAGATACAAAGACGGGACGTAGGAGAGAGTCATAAAACATAATGGATCATGGGACAAACTCTCTCGACATTTTTATGACATCCGAAAAATTAGGAAGGTAAGGAGGTGCATTTCAAAAAGCAATTGGCAAGTTTACAGTTTCCTTAAAATGCTTTAAAAACTGAAGAACTGGCTTTTAATTTTAGGCTGTCATGAAAAATATTGGTGAAAAATATCTGTGAAATGCCTTGTACCTAGGAAGGTATAATTCTGTTTTCTCTGGTGTATGCTATGCCTTTATATCTAAACCAAATGGGATATAGTTTATCAGTTCATTTTCCTTTTGAAAGATAACTGCGACGCTGAAATTTTTATTCAACTTGTTAAGTTCGCTTGCCTTTCGGCGAAAACAAAACACCCGGCCATGTGTCATTTTGGTGACGGCAAAATAAATTTACCTGGTGTAAAAACTCACCTAAGGGTGGATAGCTTGAATTGAATCCTGCGAATGAGGATTGGTAAAAGAAACTTTTAAAAAGTAGAGTAACAAAAATAAGCCAGCTGTTGAACGAAGACATGTTGCCAACTTTTTCTCTTCTTTCTCTGTAGTATCTCTGCTGAATAAGATATAAAAATTCGGTTAAATGCTTTTGTTTGATATAGCTGGCCTTGAATAAACTGTCGAACTGGATGAATTTTATGTTCAACATGCTCACAAAGACAGTCTTGTATTGCATTTCGTTATCATTAGTAATGCAAATGAAGAACCAATTTTGTCTCAGATTTAAGTTAGATTTGCACGCTAGTAGACTTCCGCCGCCAAAATTGTCTTATCAAATAATAATAGAACTCTGCTAGAAATAAAGATCGCATGAAAACTGCACGACTTGTTCAAGCTTTTTAAGGCGGGAGGGATAAAGAATTAAATCATTCTGAAAATCTACTTGATAGGGCATTATAGCCCAAAATAAATGGTACAGTTCATTTAACATGGGATTAAGTTCCGTCTTCTACAAACAGGCAACAAACACGTTCTAATAACAGTCTAATAATCTCAAATGGTAGTTGAGATAATTTGTACTGCAAAATTTTGCCAGATCACCTTTTGATAAGTTATTAAGTTGTAGAATGAATTTACGACAAGGTTCTTTTTGGTTGTAACGATTTTTATTATAGGTTAAAACATAAAGCTAGCTAGGGGCTAGTTGCTTCTCTTCTAACACATGGGTGACAAATTACGGTAACTCTTTATAATAATTTTGGTGCAAAATTACAAAATAGCTATGGCAACGTTCCATATGCCTTTAGAGTACCAAAATGGCGCCAAGGTTTTAAAACGTTATGAATGAAGATGTCAGGGCATTAAAAGACGCTTTGGAAAACCTAAACCCACAAGAACTGCGTACCGTAATAATCACATGACTTTGAGAGTATATTCGTGTTCACTCTTTCTGTTGCTTCAACAGGATAGAGCATTGGCAGTCTGGCGAAAAGGTTGTATTCTAACCTTTTCAACCGTGAGCCTTTTTCGAACTGCCCTATCGACAGAGAAACGTTTCTACATACAGTGTAGGTTGTAATTTCGAACACCGGAGTAATGAATCGTGTTAAGGACTAAAATTGTTTTACCAAAGGTGGAAAACTTGTTTTTTAGTCTTAATAACCTTGATTAGGATTTCTAAGATGCTTTCTTTCAGTTGTCTAAGTTTACGTATTCCTTCATGACATGCTCCGAACGATCAGTTAGTCAACGGACCAACCCACAGTCTGGTAGGGCCGAATAAAAGACAATGTACGAAAATCAAGAACAACAAAATATGCTTCTGTCCTGTTTACCTATCAAAAGCCCGCCCAAGATGACAGTGAAAATCTCGTTTACTTGTCAAACAACAGGACTTGTGTTGCAAAAAGTACTTTATTCAGTTTTATCAGTGTAAGGGTAATAGTCACCGTACCATTATCAATGAAATTTACACTGCCCTTCATATTTTAAAGAGGATTTTTCTACAGTACATATACAAGTGAAAAACCCCGCTTTCCAAAGCCAGTCAACTGTGAGTATATCTTCCCTTTCTTTTTTTCCGTAGCCTGCGTAGCAAGCGTTTCCAGTCGACTTATAGCGCGAAAGTTAGAGCGGGAGCAAAAAAAAAAAAAAATGGAAGGGGGAGGGGGAGGGGAGAAGAGGAAACGCTTGCCCGCAAACCCCACGATTCTGGAAAACGCCCCTTGATATTTCACGGTTCGGTTCATTTGTAAATTGACAGCTCGTCAAGATAGATAACGAATAGATTACCAGATTTGTAAAATTTACTTTGTTCCCTAAAACACGTTCCACACGATTGCAAAACTGTAATAAAAAGAAGCTTTACAATAAAAGAAGGTTGAAACTCTAAGCGATTGCTGCGGAATTTGTTGTTCTTTACAGCTGAGTTAAAATTTTAACGGTATGGTTATGTGGCTTTATCTCATCTGGAACCTTGTCAAAGCGTCGCAAAGGAATGATTTGTCCAGAACAATTCACTCCGCCGGCTATGAGTTTTGCAGAGCAGCTGCTCTTCATAGGCCAGCCAGTGTCGAAAAGTTCACTAGAATACATGCCGCTCAATTTCTAATCACTAGTCCATGGCGGCTCTAGCTAGTGTCTAGTACTCGATGTTCTGATTTACGTTGATGTTATCTCCAACAAACAGTCCATTTTTTCCAGTCAGATACGCACCCCGTCATTCCCAATAAATTGGCCTTCACCAGTCTCCACTGCTCGATTTCCAATTATACTTTTGATCGAAGGGACTCAGATCTGATAAACCTTCGCACAAAGATGATTCAAATAAATATCAGACAAAGCATTTGTAATCTGCGACCACAAATCAGATCAGACCACATCTGCGACGCACGTAAACAAAACATACCTGGTTTGATTGATGTATTGATTGCTATTTAATCAACACTACCTGCGTTCGTGGGCGAACGCAGTTTTTCAAAATCGTGGGGTTTGCGGGCAAGCGTTTCCTTCGCTCCCTTCCCCCTCCCCCCTCATTTTTTTTTGCTCTCCTCCCAACTTTCTTGACGAACTCGCGCGGAAACGCTTGCTATGCAGGCTATTTTTTCCGGTTTCAGGGGATTTATAACCCTGACCCCTTTCGCCTTAATTTTCTCTCTCGCGGCTAGACATCCTAACACCGTATACTATGCCAGCTTACGAATCATTGGAAATTCTAAAACAGACATCGCACCGAGTTAAGTGGAAAACATATTTGGGTGAAATGCTGTATCTTTAGTTAAAGGTACGTATCTGGTACTTTCTGGAATGATCTGTCCGGTTAAAAGCGAGCCCGCCTTGCAGTAAAGATTTTTATTCCTGTAGAAATCCTGAAAGTTTCTAAATGGCTGTTTCATTCATCTAATATCTTCGATGTTTTCTATCAATTTCCCTTCCCTTT